TCTTTGACCTTTGGATCTTTTTTATTTTTATTTTTTTGACCTTTAGATCTTTTTTAAAATTTCTATTTTTTTGATCTTTTTCTTATTTTTTTGTTCGATCTTTTTTTTAATGCAGTTGCAAAGCAAAATGCTGTTTCAGGATGTGTCAGAGGAGGAGTGAGAGGAGGAGTGGGAGGAGAAGTGGGAGGAGTAGTGAGAATAGCAAAGAACGAGTTCTTTGATCCCAAGAAAGGGTAGCGCGAGGATGAGAAAGCAAGTGTCGTATAAGACGTTGCAAGAGTGATCATGTCGCCATTTTGATTGATGATCAAGTAATGCCTTCTTGACCGTGAACGTTGTTTGTGAATTAAATTTTGGAACCGTTGAGTAAACATGATACTGCTGTGACGGTGTCGGAAGACTTGAGTAATGGTGATGGCAAGTGCTCTATTCCGGCTGATGATGTTCCGCTTATTCGGTTGATACGTTCGAAATTGATCTTGCATGCATCGGCAAAGGGATAAGCGATGAATCTTCGACTGCTCTTTTTGATCTTTAGAAGACTTTCTCGAATCGTCCGGGGAAACATTTGATTGATATGGACTCCGTTTGGGCGATTGTACTTGTGAGCTATTTTCATGGAGTGATACGGGTCGTGTTTGCGTTGATTGCCGCAATGATTGTGTGACGACTTGAAAAGAGAAGTGTGTGATGCCGATTGTACGATGGATGGATCTCGAATGATAAGAGAACGATGCCGCTTAAATGAGCTGTGATCTATAATTCAGAATTGGATGATGCCGGTTGGGTGAGGACGAATATGAGATGGTGTTCATTGAGTTTTCAAAGTTTTTCCCGAAGCGCCAAAGAAGACCTTGGCGTTTACACCTGTGAGCCGTTTTTGTGAAGTGAAGTGAAGTGAAGTGATGCCGTGTTTGCTTGCATTTGAAAGCCACAGTCATCGTCTTGTGAGAAAAGATATGATGCTGACTGAATGAGAAGTGGATGATGCTGATTGAATGGCAAGGGGCTCCTGGAATGGCAAGGGAGTTTTGAATGGCAAGTGGGTTCTGAATGGCAAGTGGGTTCTGAATGGCAAGTGGGTTCTGAACGGCAAGTGGGATGATGATTGGAATGAGATGTGGGTGTTGGGGGATGGGTTCAAACAAAAAAGGGGACTTTATATACCTTTCATTCATTCGTTTCACAGTTTTCAGAATTCGTATGATTTTCCCTAGACTGTCAAGTATGTCAAAATCGAATCTGACAGGTCAACTGACATGCATGTTATACAGACAGAAAGGTCATCCAATCGCTAGCATAATCTACAGTTCTAGACTATCCTTGGACCATCCGATGGAATTAAGATATCCCGTTTTTTCGGCTTCCCGGCAAATTATGCTTGGCAGCCTTAATATGTTTGATATATTGCATCACTGCTGCCTCATGTTTGACTATCTTGAGTTTTCATCAACCATCCGATGGATCTGAGATATCCCGTTCTCCTGGCTTTCAAACGATTAGTTCTTTGTCGGATCATCTTGCAGCTGCTATTTTTAACTCTTACTAACCATCCGATGAATCTGAAATATCCCGCTTTTCCGGCTTCTCAGTAAGTTCTTCCTTTAAAGCTTTGATTTATTTGTTGCACTCTGCTCTCTTGTCCGTGCGTTGAGACCTCTGCGGCACCATTCTGCTCTGCAGGTATGAGTGAAGGGGTCAAACCTTTAGATGGTGAAAGTTTTGTGTATGCACCTATCATTATTGATATGACCAGTCAAATGACCCATCGATGCATGTGTAACGGGAGCAGCAGGTATGACGTGACATGCCTTTTTTGAATGGGCTATTCAAATTCAAGTCTTTTCTCATCATGGTCATCCAAAAGGATAAGTAATCAAGTTGGCTGACAATGGATGTATGCTACCCTACGCACGCACGCACGCACGCCTACGTATACTCCATATTAGCGTGACTTTATGCAAGAAGAAAGTCACTAAAAAAATGAAATGTTCTGCTTGACTCTTTCCTTCATCATTGGACTCACGCAGGAGTGCAAAAGTGATGGACATGAGCATGTCCATCCATTGATCAAAATTGTACTTTCATCTGCCGCTCACACTTCACATGCATCGGTGAACCCTTTGGCTGGGAAACAACTACACCGATTCTCAAATCAAATCTCGGCGAAACTATTTCACCATCCAAAGCTCCCACTCATTCACCACCACCTGCAAAGCGGGACGTCGCTGCAGAAGTTTCAATGGATAAGAGAGCCGAGTTAAGTGATCATATCCGAGAAATGGAGAGAGTAGTTGCCGAAAACCTAGACAAGCGGGGTATGTCAGAACCATCGGATGGTTGGTAAGAGTTATAAATAGCAGCTGCAGATGCTTTGTCAAAGAAGTGCTCGTTTGAAAGCCCGAAAAGTGGGATATCTCAAAACCATCGGATGGTTAGCAGAGA